AAATACATTTATAAATGCTTGCATAGGCGTACCAGTCAAACATGAAAGCAAGAGCTCGGAAAGCTGCATTCCTGTCTTCCTTTGAATCACTTGAAGGCACTGTCCACACTATATTCAGGGTTATACCAATTTGACCCTTTTGAGACATCTACATGTGCGTATGAAATCATATTTAATTGCCTTTTTTTCAATAATAATAATAATATAGTTGCTTACTGTCAGATCAGATAAAATAAAATTTATCTATGGATTAATTAAATAATAATACAGAAGAAGAGTCAAATGATCTGTCTGCAACTGCAATACATTGATTGCAGAGGCAGCAGGCTTCTGGGTCAGCCAGGAAAAGAAGAAGAAAGAAAAGAGCACCTTGGATTACCATGCTTGAGAATTACAATAAATTCCTTTTGGTTAATTTATATCAACTTAAGTCCTCTCTTCTCTAAACCTGCGCATGCCTTTAAATAAACACCGTTCCGTTGATTCTTTTTGGTTACATAGATGCCTAGTTCCAGCCTCCTTGTGGTCCTGCTGGATAAGCATTAAGTATCCAAATAGATGCCTAGTTTGCTGTAAAGGTCAAAAAAGACGTTTCATTTTTCAGGAGATAATTTAATTAGGTACAGGAAAGAAAGGATACGCATTTAATTTAATCTTAGGCAGGTGGGAGTAAAAACAAAGCAGGTATTCAGACATAATAGACCACACAACTACCACTAAGCCACTCACGTGAAATGCTTTTCCAGCATGTTGAAATCAGAAACGAATGTGCGAAGAAGAGTTAGTAAAACTTATGACTTTTCTTTTGGTTTGTTGAATGGAAACAGGAGATAGATAAAATAATAGACAAAATTGAAGTCTCCTTAATAAATAACGTGTGGTTTTGACCGTGTCCTTTTCTCCCTCCCCATTTGCTTAATTTAAATTTATGTTTATCCTGTGAAATTATTTTTCATTATATAATTTTGGTATGAGAATTAGGAAATGAAAGCTTAGCAACAACAACTTAGATTTAGTTTCACAACGTTACCTTTAACATTTTATTTTAATTGATATATTATATATTTTTAAAACAATAAAAATTAAAAAATAAAATATCAGAAAACGAATCCTTAGCAAGGATGTTGGTTGGGTGGAGTTGGCCGAGTGGGGTGCATTTGGGTGTAAAAAAATAAAATGGGAAAACTAAAATGGCCTTTGGTCCAAACCAAAACGGAGCCATATTATTTTTACTGGGATGGACTTTTAGGCCTAATTCCAACGATGTAAAAAAGGGGGAAAGAAAATCAGAAGTTTGGGGGCCTCCTCAATTGTCTCGCCTGTGAATGTGAGTTTTGAGTGCGGATTCCTTAAGCATTGTTGATGCTGCTTCACTCGTCCAAGTTGGGATGTCGGTTCCCCACAAAAAAATTGCATGGTTGCAGGATAATTACCATGGATTATTGGGTGATCATCAATAATTAATCCTAATTATGCGGGATTAGGAAGAAGGTGAGAAAATGAAAACCTACTACCATTAGCATCAAAGCTTGACATGACAGCAGTTGCATGACAAAGAAGTAGTAGGTGATGATGGAGTAGCCCATGTATAGGGGTTCTATAGCAGAGTTCCCTGCTTTGCAGTTTTGCAACCTGCATCATCAATTCAATGTTCTTCCGTGTGACTTTTGGAAACTTTATTTCAATGGGGAATCTTTACTGCCCCTTCGGTTTTGGATCAGACTAACACAGAGACAGCTTAATTGCTTTTGTTTCATATAATATACAATCTCAAAAGGGTGTTCGAACTTAATTAATATTATTAATGCCGTGTCCCTTTTTTTTT